GAGAGAGAGAGATGAAATGTCGCAAGTAAATATTTTATGCGAAATTTGAACAAATATTGTATGCGATATGTTTTCCCAAGTTCTGTATTCCGCAAATGTACGGTCTCTTTAGTAACTCCCAGGGACTCTCGTCTTCCCATATACTTTTCGTAAACTATATATCGGCGAGCTTACCTCGCACGAGTGTAAGAATTCCCAGCGGCATTACGAGGATGGCGACCATGAGATCCGTGATGGCCAGACTCATCAGGAAATAATTAGTAACATTTTGCAACCGGCGCTCCCAGGCAATCGCCAGGCATACCAGAATATTCCCCGCGGCCGTTCCCAGAACCAAGATGAGCGCCAGCATCGCCCACCAATTGTTGAGTTCTTCCGCGCCGTCCTCGCCTTCGGCCGAACTCGCGCTTGTCGTCTCCAGGTCGATTTCGCTGCTGTTCGAAGAAACGACATCCCAGAGCGAGTCTTCGTAAGAATTCGTCAGAACGACCTGCACGGTCGTCGATCTCGTCATTGCTCAGTCAAAAACCTTCACCCACCAAAACACGCACTTTCACGGCACACGGGGACTCTGCATCTGAAAGCGCATCAGAATTGTCGGGGAAGCGGGGAGGGGGGGGATGAGGATATCGAATTTTTTTAGAACTTGAGAATTCGAAGAGACAACGGTTTATTTTAAGATTAATAGTCGGGAATACATTGTAGGATTTAAGGATTTATGAAATGGAGGGATCGAGGATTTACAAGGGATATACACGATTCAGTAACCTAATTAAAAGACATCAGTCAGATGATGGGAGTGTTTTGAGGAAGGATTGGAGTTGACAAAAATGATAAAATGACAAAAATAAAATAAAATATTTCAAAAGCCAAAAATTCGAAGAATGAAAGCTCAGGAAGACAGATATTGAGGACGAAACATTCAGAACGCTAGGAATTTACGAAATAAAAATTGGAGCGTAACAAGAATTTAACGTCGAAAATCTGCAGAGTCAAGAATGTAACAAATTAAAAATTTGTCTTCCATAAAATTTGAAGATAAACTGCAATTATATGAACAAATAAAAATTTACGGTTTAAAATATTACGGTTTTAAAATTATAAATATCAAAATTCGAGAATTTCAAATTTGAAGCATAAAAACTCGTAAAATTTAAAAATTGAGAGAAATTTGAATATCTAAAGAGAATAATTTAATAATTTAAAAATTTTATATTTTATTTTAATGTTACGATATTTTACGTTTTTATCTGTAAATGTTTTTCTCAAAAAGCCCGGATCGATTAGTCTTTCTTGATGTAGGATATAATAATAAAATTGCAAGATATTTCCTGGAGGAAGATCTTTCCTGAAGACGGAAGAGGCCATTCCGACTGCGTCTTCCACGAATTGTGGGTATCGATAGCGATTCAATTTCATCGTTGCGACTGATCCGATATACTAGATGATATATCGATGGAAAGCGAGGATTACATGCTCAACAGGTTACATTGGCGAGCGGATCGCTTAAGCGAGCAATTGCGAATATTATCACCATGGATATACGAGCGTACTTTCAAATTTTATCGCAATTAATCTAATCGTGCTTTCAATTGAATCAATAATCTCAGAAAATCCTGGATTTTGAAGTGTTTTATGTATCCTAGTTTGATTTGTGATCTATAGAGCGCCAAATCAAAATGCTGAAAGAGGAAAAGTTAGTAATCTTAAGACTTAAAAATTTGCGATAGTTTCAGCACAAAGTTTCAGCAATTTCGAGAATTGAAGGTTATTAGAGTTTTAATGAGTGTTCTTTAGGGAATTAAGAATAAGAAATTTGTTAATAGCAACGAACTTAAGAGATAAAACATCTTGAAGCATTTTTTTTAATGTAAAAATTAAAACAATTAAATTAAATTAATAAGTTAATTCAAAACAAATTCCAAAAAAATTATGACTCTATAGACTTTATAATTCTGCAATTCTGATGATTTCAAGAATTTAAATTAAGAGAGATAATTTAATAGAAATTCTTGAGTAATGAAAACTTTTTGGAGAATTTAAGGAAATGAATTAAACTGTTAAAGTAGTTTAAATAACAAAAAATAAATTTGAAGAAATTCAACTAGGATTTTGAAATTTCTAGTTTTAAAATTTAACTGACGGTACACGAAATAATTACAAAAATTAAAAATATCAATAGTTCTATAATTTTGCGCATTTATAATTTTTTAAGGATTTAAATTTAAAAAAATACATTTAATACAGGAACCAAATTTTTTAAGGAATATTAAAAATACAAAATATTATAAATAATAAATTATTAAAATAAATTATATAAATAAAATATTTTAAAATATTTTATTAAATTTAATTAATGGGATTTAAGAAAATTTAAGGAAATAGAGACTTTGGAATCTCTGCAGTCTCAATTGAACAAGTGAAGTTCATGGAAATTCGGGAAATTAAAATTTTGGTATCCGGTATTTCGAATAACCTGTAGAATCGGGATGCACATTGTTCGATGAACTTTCCTACATGGTAAACGGACACTCCAAGAGTCTCGAAGGACTTTCTGCGGTGGATTTCAAACGCGCGCGTTTCTGATAATGGATCGGGGGTGGCGACGGGCGAGCGATTCGGCGGGTCAACCTCGGAAACCGAGCGCGAAGGACGAACAACACGATCCACGGTGGTTGCTTTGCCGTGGACTACTAGCCCACTGGCTTTCATTTCGTCAGAACCACCCCCACCGGCTGTCTTGCCGGTGCTCTTCAACCCCCAGCGAGGGTATCGCGACGCGCAAGCGTTGCCGCACACGGCCTGCCCACATCGGGACACCTGTTCGTCCTTCGTCGTCGCCTCTTGTGTTAGATGCACGCGAGATGTAATGTTTTATCAATAAGATAATTGACACCGTGGCATTTTCTGCCTTTCCAATGAAAATTGATGACGCTGGCATATTTCGTATATAGTATCCATTTGGATCTCTTATTACTTTTTCTTTGAAATTAATTTCTAAGAGCCATAAAGATACCGATACCAAAATGGTAAATTGTTCTCACATGTTATGAGATATGTGATATGTCATTAAAATTATATTTTCTGGATTTTCTCACGTAGACATGTTCCGAGCGAAACTTGGAAGCGGTAAATTCAAGTGACAAACATCGAGACAGGTGTCACATCAAGATATTTTTATCGTGAGAGGAAAATGAAAGAGAGAGGAAAATGGAATTATCCTTGGAAACATGCTTGTTCTAAATATTATTAGAATAGAAAAGTATATACAAGTCAAATAGATAAAATGTTTTTAAAATACTTATTTACATATTTATAAAAATTGATATACAACATTTCGAATCAGTGAAATAAACTGAATGAGAAACAATTTCCAATAAAAATAAGTTAAAAACTAAAAACTTAAAAGATTTAAAAATTAATAGCGTATATTATATTTATATAATACATTTTTATTTTATAAACTACATTTTATATTATAAATTGTTTATTTTTTAGATAATTATAAGGTACTAAAATATTTAAAAAATTCAAATTAGTTAGAATTTGCAACACATGAAAGTGAGATAGAGCTTTAAGCTTTAAGCTTATGTGGAAGAAGAAGAAAATTAGTTAGAAATTTTTTCAGAAATTTTAATTATTTAATTTTATCTATAGATCAGAGAAATGCTTTAAATTTATTTCATAATATAAGTATTACAATAATTTTAAAAAATATTAATTAAAATTTAAATCCAAATTAATTAGGATCTATCGAGGGAATAATAAGATAATTGAAAATTTTCAAATTTCGTTAAAATAATTTTATTTAATTATAAGAAAAGTTTTATTTATTGAAGTGTGCAAATATATAAAGCGGATTTAGTCGAAGGAATCCTGGTTAATTAAAAATTAAATCGTGTTTATGAAAAGAATCAAATTTTATTTTTTATACATTATTAAATGTATAAAATTGGATTTAATTGCAATAAACGTCTTTTAATTGCAGGCATTAAAATGTTTATTAAAATACACGTTTGTCAAATGTATCAAATTACAGTTAATTGTAATAATTCTACGTACATTTCTCATGCATTTCCGAGTGAAAGCTAATCCTATTATCTCATTTTAATCATATCTGTGGAATTTAAAGATGCAAAAGGAGTTGAATATTAAAAAGAGATTGTAAAAAATCTTTTTCACACCTTCATATCTCGGGCGATGCATTTTGCATACTGATATATCCATGTTCCTGAAATTAATACGGCTTTGTTCAAGTATCGAATTTACTTTGACTATATTTTCGCGATATTATTCCCTCCGATTTTCAACTCATAAATTCTGTCGAATTAAATCCTTGCTATATTTTCATTTATTATGTCAGGATAAATAAACAAATTGGTAGATCAATTCGTGTTTTTGAAATTAATCTTGCCTTTTAAAGGTTGAATTGGAATTGAAATTCTCCTCGCGATGTTACGCTCATCCAGTCTCTCCTACCTTTTGTTTTAATATTTTTAAGATACATAAACAAATTGATAGATTAATGCATTTCGTATTGTAAGTATCGAGGATCTCATTTCTCTTTAAATTGAATATCGATTCGTAACGTACGAAAGTGTCGTGAGAGAAGGATACTAATCGCGATAAGCTCGTCGCGATAAATTGGACACGAATAAATGTTCCCGCGAAAAGCGTCTGGAAACGGGAGTTCTGCGAGCATTAACAAAAAGCAATATAGTTCCGAGAATTCCGCGATAAAGGAGCGATTTATTGCGCCCTTGGGCGATTTTTTTGCTCGTGCGCACGTGCGATTAAAAGACTCGCGAAAGGACACTCCCAGGAAACGAAACCCCTCGCGGATATCTCGCACATCCAGAAAATACCGGGATTATTCCCGGTATCGTTCTCGGTGATTCGTATCGTTCGAGATTTCGTTCGGTGTTGTGTACACGTTTCGTTACACGTTTCGTTACACAACATCGTTTGACAAATAAGTCCGTAAAGACGTTTCTCTTTTTCCCCTCTACAACGTCAGTGACAACGCGTTTAATTTTTTGTCTCTCCACCACCTATAAATTCGATCCAATTATATATATTTATCAACATTTTAGTGAATTTAATTTATAATTAAACGAATTTTAATTTACATTATTTTGTAAATGTAAAAGAATGCTTTTTTATAAGAATTCAATTTTATAAGAATTATTTTAATACAAACATATCTTTACTATCCGTATTCTTCCTATCTAAACTACTTTTTCAACGCACATGTACGTTATCATTCTGATTTCAGCTTTGAAGTTCTGCAACAATTAAGCGGAGCGCAAACCGCAACCTGGTTATTAAATGTACTATCACTTTAGCTGGACAATTTCTTGAGCCAGACTTAGCTTACCTTAATCCACTTAGGAATATTCCGGATTTCCGAACTGAATCTGTGATCTTATATGGTCAATTATCTCTGCAAACCGATTAACCGAATTTGTTTGACGAGTCGAACTTTTGTATTAATTGAAAAGTACAATTCAATTAAATTTAGTAATTGTCAAAAATAATTATTAAAAGTTATAAATTACTAAATTATCTTAATTAATTGTCAACGTTCGTTTGATATTTTTTAAATTGTCAATTTTATATAAAGTAGATATAAAAATATAATAAATTTATTATGTTACGTAAATTTTGTTGCATCGGATTGCGCGTATGGATTATATATGAATATGTGTGTGTGTGTGTGTGTGTGTGTGTGTGTGTGTGTGTGTGTGTGTGTGTGTGTGTGTGTGTG